CCTTGCGGATGGATTCGTAGCCGAGCAAGAATCCTGAAGGGGAAAGCAGGAGATGAGTTGTTGCGTACGTACGTGTGTGTCTGTGTCTGTGTGTGTGTGTGTGTGTAATTGTGTGTGTGTCTGTGTGTGTAAGTGTGTCTGTGTGCTTCTGTGTTTCTATGTCTATGTGTGTCGGGTTCAAGCTCAATCGCCCATGGATCAACCTTGATGCACCAGGACATCTGGCGGCTGACTCTTGAATTCAGGTGTCACTTTGGCCGCATCCATATCCTCCCATTCTTGCGTCGTGTCCTTGGTTCCTGTTCGCCGTAGAAACGCAATTACAAGGAAACAAACAGTGTGAGCAGTGGTGTGCATTCAACCTTCAGGAGGGCTTGAAGCAATGATCAGACCCAATGTGGGTGGATGAACAAGCACACACGCCTTCACCCTTTCACCGCGGCTGCAAAGCTCAGGCTTACCTTGAAATACAACGACAATCTGCTCGTTGATGTGGTCGACCCCCAAGTACGCGTGCGTGTCCGATGCTGCTTCCACGTACTTGGAGAATCGTTGAATGCCCTTGTTGGGTGGTATTGGCATGCAAGCGACAAAGAAGGCAGCCGATGATGGAGCAGCATGAGGGTGTGGGTACATGCAGGAAGGGGAAGTGGGAGTGTGAGGTGGTAGGGTGTTCACGTTTTGGCGTTTTGGTGTTTTGTCTGGCTTTGTGCTGCGTGGGCTATGCCCTCTCGCAGTCTCGCAAGCATGGTTGAAGGCCTGATGTACCGTGAGAACGATGTTGGTTTCGTAGCAGGGCTTGCAGGTCCAGCGCTGGATGTACGTCTGCGGGCAGTACGCGGCTGCAGAGAGCCACGATGCGCGCATAGCAAGCTCAACGTCCGGGGTATGGGAGTCGGTCTTGAGAGCGGACATGGCCCGCATCTTTGCTCGCTTCAGCTCGATGTCTGCAGAGAATGCTGGGCTCCTTCGCTGCCGATCCAATCTTGACGTGTCGTTGTGCTTTTGCACGCTCACGGCGACGGGAAGTGCGTGCACGAGTGCTTGGCACAGCCAGGCTGCCACCAACACCTGCAGCAGCAGCAGGGATGCCGTTGTGCATTTCATGGCTGGCTCACGTTGGCGGGGCGCGGCTATCTGAGGCAACTGTCCGACTGTCCGACTGTCCGACTGTGCGATCGTGTTGGATGGAAGTGAGCGGTGGAGGTGTTTTGCAGTGCACATTGAGACAGTTGTCCTTCTTGTGGCGCGTTTTGGGCTGCAAATTTTCTTTCGCAGCGTTTTGACTGTTCGACGACGTGTGACGTGATGATGATGAGTCACATCACATCATGTCACATCACATCACAACATCACACGTCATGTCATGGCGCACGCCCACCACACCTCCACACATGCGCACAAGCTGTAGAGTCGTGGAAACCGCAAGGGGTTTTAAGGAGGTTGTGCTCGTGGCAGTGCGTGCAAACAAAGGAACGTGGACACAACAGGCGTGATGAGGTAGACAACAGAGCAACACATTTGAGAATGGCGGGTGCAGGTTGCCACGACATGGGCAAGATGACAGAGTAGGCGTGCGTCCAACAGCAGTGGACAACAACATTAAGGAAAAAGTGGCATCGCGTGCGATTGCAATTGCACAAGTCATTGATCACCACAGGCGGCACATGTCGCGCTTTGGATCTGGACAGCTGAAGGCGTCGAAGAACTCCTGCGAGTTGCTCACCGCTCCAATCACCCGGTACTTTGCCGGACTGCACATGTGTGCGTGTGTGTTTGTGTGCATGCATGTGTGCGTGTGTTTGTTTTGTGTGAGACAGTGTGTGTGTGTGTTTGTGTGAGACAGTGTGTGTTTGTTTGTGTGAGACAGTGTGTGTGTGTGTATTCGTGTGAGACAGTGTGTGTGTGTGTGTTTGTGTGCTGATGTGTGCAAGCGTCACAGTTACTGCTGTCACATCACACCGTCGCGCACCGCGCCCAACCACGACACCAATGCATACCTGTGCACATCGGTGAGTATGCGGTTGTGTGCTTCTTCCGGCCTGAATTTGGAGCACCAGACCTGTTCAAAGCGACGAAAATACGCAGCATGATATGTACATGCATGAGGCGTGCAGCAAACAGAAGAGTCACCAACATCATCAACACCACCAACGCCGACCAAACAAACTGCTAGTGCCAGCGCCAAGCACATGCACATGAGATATCTTCGTGTAGGTGTACAGGTATGTGTGTGTGCATGTGGCGAACCTGTGCAAAGCCGATGAAGAAGAGCTGATCGGAGTTGAGCTCCAGACCCGGCAGCGCAACGTCCTCATCAGCGTGGTCCCTGCTATCCCGCCACGACTGATATGCCTGCATTGGGGGAGAGGGTGAGGAATTGGAGGTGGGTGCGTGTCAGTGTGTAGAGAGAGAGAGAGAGAGAGAGAGAGAGAGAGAGAGAGAGAGAGAGAGAGAGAGAGAGAGAGAGAGAGAGAGAGAGAGAGAGAGAGAGAGAGAA